AGCAGGACATGCAATTCAATCGGCTTTTTTTTTTTTTTTTTACAGTCTCCGTCATCGATGACCCATCAGACTCAGGACATCCAGAGGACATAAAGCCTAAATAGGAAAGCTTAGAGCTGGGTGGTATGGCACTATATGCGTGACGTTGTCATGGCAACCAGATACATCGCACGTGAATTACTCGTGCTACGTCTATTTTTTCTGCGCTAGCAATAAACGCATTGCAAATAAACATGTATATAAACATGTTTGTCCACAGAATATCAAAGTAGGCTTTTCAAATTAAGGAGTGAATTTTTCATCCACTGCTTTAAAGGAACACTCCACTATTTTTTAAAATAGCTCATTTTCCAACTCCCCTAGAGTTAAACAGTTGAGTTTTACCTTTTCGAATCCATTCAGCCGATCTCCCGGGTTGGCGGTAGCACTTTTAGCTTGTAGCTTAGCATAGATCATTGAATCTGATTAGACCGTTAGCATCTCTCTCAAAAGTGACCAAAGATTTTCGATATTTTTCCTATTTAAAACTTGACTCTTCTGTAGTTACATCGTGTACTAAGACCGACGGAAAATTAAAAGTTATCAGCGATATGGCTAGGAACTATACTCTCATTCCGGCGTAATAATCAAGGAACTTTGCTGCCATACCATGGGTGCAGCAGTATAGTGCACTATAGTTCCCAGCCGTTCATGTTAGTTAATACATTAACTAACATTAACTAATGGAACCTTATCGTAAAGTGTTATCAACATGTTTGTCAACAGAATATCAAAGTAGGCTTTTATTAAAGAAATCAAGGAGTTAATTTATCACCCACTGCTTTAAAACAGAAATATGTTGGGCATGATTCAAGTTCAACGCACAATAGCAGGCACACAAACACTTCATAGCCTATTTATTAAATCTTACTGAAAATGGCAGATTAAGCAGGTTATATTATAAAATCTATGTCTAGGTTTTGTTTTGTGTAAATCAAATAACATTTGGATGTAAATAGTCCTCTTCCTGACATAAATGTAGAACACCCAGCCACTACAATGGACCGTCCTGTGGAACACCTCATCAAGCACGGCATCAGCATCGGCATCTTCATCGGACTTTATTTTGATTAGGTCCAGATTTCTCTGCAGTTGTTAAATGCTGTAAAAAATGCTGAATATCCATTCACGCCATGCAACAGGCAAGCAGTATTTACTATAGGCTATTATCTGCCAAAATGCTATGGAGCCCCTAAAGCAGAGGTGCCCAAACTCGGTCCTGGAGGGGCGGTGTCCTGCAGAGTTTAGCTCCAACTTGCCTTAACACACCTGCTGGGAAGGTTCTAGTATGCCTAGTAAGAGCTTGATTAGCTGGTTCAGGTGTGTCTAATTGGGGTTGGAGCTAAACTCTGCAGGACACCGGCCCTCCAGGACTGAGTTTGGGCACCCCTGCCATAAAGGGACATGGTGGTGAAAAAAAATACAGGATAAAAAAAATTCTCGCAAAACTTTTGCATTCCCCCGAGAAACTTTGCATCCGCTTGCAAAACATTTGCATTCTCTCGCAAAGATATTTGCGTTAATTCGTAAAGATATATGTGTTCGCTCACAAACTTTTTGTCTTTGCTCGCAAACCCATGAGTTCAGACAAACACTTCCAGTTTACTTTACAGCTTGCAGTGGTCCACACAGCTCCGTATGTGGAGAGGTTTATAGAGTTTTATTTTGAACTTGGACTAAAGTTTAAAGAAATACGGTCAGTGCTTAATTCAAGGCACCATTTTGGGACATTCTGAAAGGCTTAACATGGCCTAATGTACTAAAACCGAGACATTGATTGGAGGACCAAATTCAGTACACACCTTATTAATGAAGCATATACTACTTACAGTCAAGCAGAATAGCCCAAAACATGACCGCAACAAAAATGTAACCAAAAAAAATTTATTCAACAAATAAAATACAACTGATTAATAAAATAACAAAGTTAATTAAAATAAAACACAATTTATAAAAAAATAATAATAAAATTAATTCACTGGAAAAAAACAAACAAACAAAAAACCCGCTATGTATAAAACTATTTTTTTCCCATTGAAATACCAAGAAAGATGACTATACGTTTGTTTGTACCAGTTTGGTTAGTCACACTTTCAGTCAGCGCTAAATGTCATGGAAATGATTTTTTGCTGTCAGTTTTCAGGCAAGATACAGCATATAAACTATTTTTATTTTTTTTCTTAAAACCATGAGTAAAATAGATTTTCAAAGGTCATCACAGTTGAAATGATGCAAATAATAAGCTTCAGTTAAGAAACCCACCATGTGTTTACAAACTCATTTTTCACAAACAAAGAGGGTCAAGAGTGAACATGCAACATAACAAAACCAAAGAAAATCTTACAGCATCTGGAAAGATTCTGGTATTTCGAATCACTGGTGAATGCTGGGTCATGTGGTATAAATTAGAACGGCTCACTCTGAATGACCACAAGGCCTCAGAGAGCAAACACAACAAACCACTGAGATTTGGTGGGAGAAGGAAAGAGTTTATTCCATTCCATCATACTCATCTAAACCACCTGCATCTGGTCAAGAAGCATGTCCTACAATCTGGCAACCAGCGCTTCCACAGGAATATCTGGCAACATAAACCTCACCACTACAGGAAATCTGTGGTTAGTCAGCTTACGCTCACTATCCACTGTTCCTTTTCGTCCACGACTGAATCCAACATAACATAAAAAACAACAAACACATCCATGTTGAAAGAGCATGTGAGAGTGATATGTTACAAAGTTACAAAGACTTGAAATCAGCAGGGAACTACACTGTAACAGAAATGAGTATGAAATCACGCACTACCAAATAGAGAACATATTTTTAAGAAATGAGCTATAAGCTCGAAGAACAATGAAGAAGTCTGTCCAAAAGAACAGATATCAATAGTTCAGAGGAGTTAACCTGATCTGCCTTTTAGCAGCCACAGCAGGAGATGCGAAAGAGATTAAATATTGATCAAATGACACAGTGGCTTCCTCTGAATAAAAGAGAAGAAAACGATAGACAGTCTGTGTGTTCAGGTCTTTCAATAGCAGTTTTAGCCGTTTTGAGAACGTGGTTGTGGTGGCTTAATGGAAGAGTTGAACGAGAAAAAAAAAAGAAGAGTGTGTCATCATTTGTGTACTATATACATGGACTATGTTACAAGACAAGATAAGATATATAAATATTAAATATATGCTCACCAAGGCTGCATTTTTAAAATAAAACATATAGTAAAATAAAAAATAAAACATAAATGAATATAATCTATTTGAATATATATATTTTTTATTTGTAATTTATTTATTTAAGCTGAATTGCAGTCATTACTCCAGTTTTCTGCGTCATTTGATCCTTCAGAAATCATTCTAATATGCTGATTTGCTGCTTAAGAAACATACTATTATCAATGT